AGTGACTCTCGCCTGCTTACAGCCATTTCTGTTCCAAAGGGCTCCCAGCCACTTTGCTCTTTTTCTTTTTTTTTTTTTTTAATCCAAAATCCAGACCTGCTTTGATTTGACATGCTGAGTAGTGACTATATACAAGTCCTAATTATATTTTTTTTATTCTGTGGCAACTTCATAAATGGGTCATATTTTCAAATTTAAATTTGGGTTTTGTTGCGTGGTCTGTTTAGAATAGATACACACTGTGCCTAACTTTTTTTTTTTTAGTACAGTAAATAGTGTCAGACGGCTATCTAATATCTTATTGTACCTATTCCTTTATGCTGATTGACAGTGAAATACTATTTTTTTTTTTTTTAAATTAGCATGCTATCATGGCTGTTTGCACCTTATTGGATAACTGTATATGGATTAAGATTGTTGTCTTTATACAGTATATCCTATTTTTTTTTTTTTATTTTGTGTTTTTGATCTGATTTTTAAAGCCCAATTGAAGTCCCACACATTTTTCTCTTTAGTGTCCTCTACCCTTGTCAGCATTTGTGACTAATTTTTGCTACTAAAAGCCTTAAAACCCTTTTCTCTCCGTGAAAATGCTGCTTCCAGTTCTGCAGTGCTTTATGCTGGCAGAACTGAGCAACAGCCACACTCCTTAGCACAAGTGTCCTCACGCAGACATGTATTGCAGAGAAGGGGAGAGGTTTGTGTGACCAGGTTTGTTACTGAGTGCAGGAGGTCTAACTGTGGTGCCTATTGGACTGAACAGGCCCTGCTTAGACCCTTTGAAATTCTGACTGCGTATTTATTTCTGTGACTATAAGTTGGCTTTAAAACCATTTTCTGTAAAGAATATTGTAAAGATTGCACTATTCAAAGTTTAAGCAACATGTAGACATAGAATATTAATAAACCTGACAACTGTAGTATTTTATGGCACATGTATTCTGCAATCTTCAAAAAACAATTGCATTTAATTCTGTTTGTTTGCTTTACTTGGTTAACTGAAATGTTAGCGTATTTTCATGCCCTTGTACATTAATTAGAAGGATTTATGAGCCATTTGCAGCTTCTGCCATGTCCTTTATAGATTTTGGGTAAATCACAGTGGCACCCAAGGTCAGAAATGTCTTCTGAACTTACGGTTGTATCGATTTCAATCTTGGATCCCACTCTTCTATCTTTATACAAGTGTTAATATATTTTTATTCATTTCAAGCAAACTAAAAGGAAGTTGGATGATGCAAATAAGAGGCTGGAATCTCTATATGACAAGCTCAGAGAACAAACCGTAAGTCTGTGTTTTTCTGTATGGATGGTTTAAGCATCATGATCTGTGAAGTCCCTTAAAAAGTGACACTGTCATTCTTTCTACAAATATACTTGATAGTTTACTATAATAACGTTTCCTTGTGTTGTGTAGTTAGAAACACAGTAGCTTGTATGCAGTCTGTTTTCCACCAGGTATCCAGGTGATTGCTCCCTTTTGCCCATGTGCATGTGTACATGAGCTTCCTAGCTGTACTCGGCCAATGTATGTCACAATAACTAATGTAGTGAAGAAATTTGCTCATTATGAGCTCATTAAGCAGGCACCCATATCCCATTCCCCTTTTCACCAGTGTGCAGTAGGTCCTCCGTTTGCCCCATGTCAGATATAAGGTAAACTCCAGGTACATATACAAAACCAGATCATGAATCATTTTTTTAATGACTTCAATAACTAGTCTAAATACCTGAATATGACCTGATAATGCCTCCTGTAGTACTCAAGGGAATAACATCATTAGCAGACAACTGAGAATTACCTCATTGGTGTGCTGCTTCTTCTTCACTGTCTAATGACAATCTAGAGCTTTGTTGGTGACCAAGCTGTATTGCTTAACTGCAGTAGGGAAAATACTGTCTGGATCAAGACTAGATGAACACGACAAATCCTTTTGACAGGTGGTACCTTTTCATATATACAGTATGTGTTGCAGCAGTGTATTTTGTTGTTTGCCTGGGCATGATGATGAAATAGTGGCTTTGTGTCTGATTTTAGTATCATTATTATTATTATTCAGGATTTATATAGTGCCAACAGTTTGCGCAGCGCTTTGTAATACAATTACAATATAGAAGAGCTTACAATCTCGTAGGAGGGTCAAGTGATGCAAAAGATAATAATTGTGTGGGATGAGCTATTGGAAGAAGTAAAAGGACAGTTAATATGTGGAGGTGGGATTGGCTTTCCTGTGAGCTCAGTTTTCTAGGACCACCTCGAGGTGGTTTTGAGTAGGAGATTGGGTTGGGGTGGGACAGATTGGGATAGGAGGTTCCAGAGGATGAGAGAGGCTCTGTAGAAGTCCTGGAGGTAAGCATAAGAAGGAGGTGAGCTAGAGAGCAGAAGGTCTTGAGAGAAGCGGAGAAGGTGGCTTGAGTGATCTTTTGAGATGAGGTTAGTGATGTAGGTTGAGGCAGAGTTTGCAGACTGCTTTGCATGTTATTGTTAGTGTACTGAATTTTATTTGTTGGGCAAGCGGGAGCCAGTAGATGAATTTGCAGAGTAGATCGGCTGACACTGAACAGATTGGTAAGGGGGATGAGGTAGTATAAACACTAGAGTTGATTCATAATTACAGGGTTCTAAGGAATTAGCTCTTCTGCAGTTGATCATTTGGACTTCTCAGGAATCATCGTTGTATCCTTGCAATTTTATGTATAGCTTTTTAATATTTTCTGTATTACTTCTGGTTTAACCAATGGCTTTCTCTTTCACAGCTATCCCCTGCAATAATTGCAGGTTTGCACAGTATTGCCAGAAGTATTGAGTCCCGCAACTACACGGAGGGGCTCAACATCCATACCCACATAGTGGGCACCAGTAATTTCAGCGAGACGTCTGCCTTTATGCCAGTACTCAAGGTAGTCCTTACCCAGGCCAATAAGCTCGGAGTGTGATTTTTCTCCTCTCAAAAGACTTCAGCGTTTTCTTAAGTCAAACCAAGCTTCTGCACCTTGTAATAGTTGACGGACCAAGGACTAGCATGTTTTTAAAAGTGTCAGAACTCAAACCTCAGTGACTCCTGAAGATTGTCATTCACCTTTTTATTATTTTCTATGCGAGGAGTTTTTTTGTTTTTTTCACACCGTGATATTTCTCCAAGCTTTATAATATTTGAGGGATTACTCAAAGCATGACGCTCTATTCAGAATTCTAGAAATGTGCTATCTAATATCTGAGCAGAGCTTTTTTTAATTTAATGGTTCACATTTCAGAAAAATTTGGTTGCCAAATGATGTCATCTACAATAAAGTTTGTGATCCATATCAAATCTTAAATGTCGTTACTGTCATTTTTATTTTGCTTGTTTACTGGATGTTGAATTTCACTCAATCTATGCATATCATAGTTTTCATCACTTGTTATTAAGGCAAACACAGTGATCTTTGAATCTGTAAGGAGAATGTTTCTACACTTTGAATTCTGTTTTGGATGCAAATGTAATCCACCTAAAGTGACACTAAACTCGGGTATTAAACCTTAAAAATGCGCCCCAGTACCATAATAAAAATGTATCTTATTTGTGCGTAACTCGGCTGTAGATCATCAAATCATCTCTGAACTGTTTCTGACACTGTCCTTCCTTCTGGAGGGTGGCTACGTTTGTTCCCCATGGTCCCTGTGTGTTTTGTAGCCACCGAGCCAAGCTCACTCCCATTACAAACTACAACCTCCAATACAAATTGGCAAACCAAACGTGAGCTTGTAGTGCATCACCAGAGCGAGCTTGGAGGGTGGCTACTTTACAACACAAACAGGGACAAAAGTAGCCACCCTCCAGAAGGAAGGACAGTGTCAGCATGAATTCAGAGGTGATTTGAGGATCTACAGCTGAGTGATACACAAATAAGATACATTTTAGTTATTAGTTAAGGTACCTGAATGCGTTTTTTAAGATTTAACTCCTGAGTTTAGCATCACTTTAAAGAAGATCTACATGGAGCACTATTTTATGTAAACTTAATCCTGTTATATTAGAAAACTAAAATAATTTCTATGTCGACAAACATGGTGGTGTCCTCACACATTCATTCACATGTACAAGGGTTTACATTTTGTTCTTGTGTGTGGCCATGTTTCCCCAATATGTCATAGCTGCTTATAGTTTAGCACCTATGACGACATATTAGCTACTCTTAAACATGTTGTTAGTCAGCATGATATAATGAAGGATGAGCATAGGCAGAGCATTTTTTAAGGTACACATTATGATGTCACAATATATTTATGCCAGGAGGTTTCTTAGAAACCTGAAATGTAATTTTATTTAGGTAGCGTTAGCTTCCAATGTAAGTGATTTATGATGGTTTTCTGTACTTGATTCCCTTCAAACTACAAGCGGAAGCTGCTATTTTATTATCAAAATCATTAAATAGCCAAATCTAAAAGAGAACTGTGCCTGCGTTGAAATCCCTGTGCAACTGCAGACATGTCACAAACTCTGACCCGCGGCATGTCTGTGCATGTGCGACACTGAAATCGTGCAATACTGCACCCCACTACCTCCTGAGTTATGACATAGACATTACAGGAGGCAATGTGTGGGCAATTACATCATCTTCTTGTAAAAGTGGGAAATTACCACCTTACTCCTATCCTATCCTGGGATACATATGTATCCTCTTTCCTTTTCCTTTTGAATCTAGTTCATTGTAACAGTTTTCTGAGTTCGAGTGATCTTTCTATTGATCACTTTTTTAAAAAAATTTGACCTCCGCTGGACTTCCTCTGTTAAGTGAATCCTCATGTGCACTGCTGTTCCTCATTTTTAAATGGTGGGGGTCCGATTACAAGAAAATAGCTACATTTATTAATCCTGTACTTTTTTGGAAGGTCAGCAGACAGTGCACTCTGTTAACTGGCAGAGTTCCCCTCAGTGGCATAGTGCAAGTCCGGAAGCCTTCATGGGACCAAGTTATCTGGAAGATAGCTCTTCTTCCTACTCTCTCAGACTAATTGTTCCTAGTACTAGTATGCGGATTTCGACTATGAGGATGATTTTTCCATTTACAGGAGTACTTTTCCTGATTCCTAGATGCATGTATTTATTGGTCAGGTAGACTGAAGGGTGGCTACCATACCACTGTAAACACATTGGGTGTGAGTTGGAAGGATTTTTCTCTCCCGTTCATTGAAGGACACAGGCAACAGATCGTAGATCCTGAATGGTAGGGTAATATCGCCACCTGCAGGAGAAGGACACTAGGCACAAAACTAAAGACCAATTACAGCCTAGGGGCGGCCCCTGCCGGTGGCCACACCCCCCACCTGCTGACAAGTCTCCAGTTTTTTGCCTAGCGTCAGGTGTAAGGAGCTAAAAAATTTCTTCCGTTTGACTGGATTTTCTTCTAGCAAGTGTCCCCAGGGCGACAGGCTGGATGACTGTAGATCCTTGTAAGGCGCTGGTCCGCCCTGTCAGGGAGTCCCTGAAAATTGAGGATGTTGCCAGCACTTCCACGCTGCCGCATGAGCAGTTTGGGATGCATAAGAGCAGGCGTTCCGCCGAGGTGTTTCCTTACATCTCCTTTTTTGATAAATTAATTTATAAGGAGTGGAAGCGGCCTTTCAAGTCCTTTGGGCTGTGGCGCTTTTGCGGTCCCTGTACTCTGTCTCGGGCGCTCTCATGCGTCCGGTCTTGGCTTCGGCCTTGGTCTCTCAGACTCGGACCCGCCCTCTTTATGGGGTGTACACTCCTAACTGCTTGTTACTAAACTGGAGACTTGTCAGCAGGTGGGGGGTTTGGCCACCGGCAGGGGCCGCCCCTAGGCTGTAATTGGTCTTTAGTTTTGTGCCTAGCGTCCTTCTCCTGCAGGTGGCGATATTACCCTACCATTCAGGATCTACGATCTGTTGCCTGTGTCCTTCAATGAACGGAGAGAAAAGGATTTTACGGTGAGTACAAAAATCCTATTTTTCTACTCCTTCTAATACAAATGTTCTTGCATGCCTTGTGGGTTACAATATATCCTCCTTCCTACCTACCATTTAATATAGGTGCTGCAGATCTTGCCTTTTCCTTTGAAGAATTTTAGGATTACTACCCTTCCATTTTCCACTAATAATTTCTCCCTCTCTACATGTGGTGCTAAGTGGGCTAGCCTATTTATGTTTATTTCTTGAGAGAGTACTTCTCAATCAGGTACATCCTTCATAATATGTCATTCCCTCTCCCTGAACACAAGGGTTTAGGGTGGTCCATGTATGCCTCCAGATGTTAGCTGGTTAGTCTTCTTATTTAAATATACCTCATCTATTAAGCCTTCCTTTTCCTAAAGTGAAAAGTTAAGTGTTACACTTAATTCTCCAGATGTTAATTGGTTGGTCTTTTGATTTGGGCATACCTTATCCGTCCAACCTTCCTTTTCCTGCAGTTTAGGGTTAGGTATCCTAGCTTTCGTCCTTTGTTTCAGTGCATATCCTTTTTATTAACCCCTTTGGTTTTTTTTTTTTTTTTTTCACCTTTTTCTTATGTTGCATGTTTG